TTAGGGAGAGATGAATAGTGTTGAGGCTAATTTCCCCCATCAATTGATTAGAAAACCATTAAAAAGATCAATTATTTTCAAGTCTCGGAATATAAAGGAGTGAGATCATTTCAAAGACCAAGTGACAAAAATCACTTTGTCACAGGTTTATAAGTGCCATTATAATTAAAATATATTGCAAAACCGAAAGATCTTTGCAGTTTGCCAAAAAGGTAGCTGCTCTGTTCTTAGAGAGGCCAGCTTAAGAACAATGCTAGTTGGAAATTTGGATAAGAGAATTTTTTTAGGACAGGATTGGTAGGAGAGAAAATACTGCCTTAATACAGATATAGTTAACAATGGTCTCATCATGATCTGGGAATGAGACAGGCAATGTCATGGAGGCAACACGCTGAAAAAAATGTTACCAGAATTTGTTAATACCACAGCTAAGTGGGGAAGGCAATACAGTAAGTCTAAGGATTTTTCTATCTTTCAGGACCTGAAGAATTTGGCTGCCGAACACCAGCAAATTGTGATAATTCCACTGGGTATGTATACTAAGAATTCCTTTTTTCTTCATGAATTGGGAAGGAAAAGAGCTGAAATTCAACACCAGATTAGATTATGCCAACTAGGCATTGATAATACTAATTGGAGTAGACAAACAATAGATTGCATTATAATTCGCTGTTTAGACAGAAACCCAGAAATGGATTTCAAAAATGATTGGATTTGCTACCAAACAATGAAACAAATATTCTGCTAGACAGATGCTCTGGAAGGTTAATATCCAGGTATGAACTCAGCACATTCCAACATCGGATAAACACAATGAGCAAATCGGTGCCGTCTCTTTCTAATCTTTCAAATAATTTTTTAAAGTTATTTCATTACATCAAACCAACAAAAGATATTGTGTGCATATGCCTGTGTTAACAAAGGGATGCACCATTAAAACTGAAGAAGGGAGAAAAAGACGGTATCAGACGGAACAGTAAACACTGATAGTGATAAGGTAGACAACCTTCTACATGACCTTCATGGTCTGCATAATAAGCTAAATCATAAATCAGGGATTACAAATGTTTATGGACACGTTCTTGCACAAAACACTCTAACTTAAACCAGATCAGCTGTGAACCACACCAGAGTGGGTCTCTCAGCAGAACAAGGCTTAAGTAAGCCATGGCTTCATGCAACATTACCTCTCAACTACTTAAATTCCTTATTGGATTCCCATCACTGAACATTTCAAAAATTATCAATCGACCACATTTCTCTGCAGCATTGAGACTAATCTCACCTTTTAAAACAATTCAACAAAATACTGGTAAATTCAGAGAGTCGAATCATTGTGTGGTGCACAAAGCCAGATATGGAATAACATGCCTTTATTTTTCTTGCTGTAGACACTTGTGATCCATCCAGTGTTAAGGCTGCTGCAGCTAAAGTTACAGGACATCTAAAAGGGGCTGGGTTGAACCTGCTGATTAACAATGCAGGGATTTTAAAACTGAGTACTGTAGAGACGGAAACGCCAGAGAACATGTCTGAGGTGTACAAAACCAACGTCATTGGACCCATGATAGTCAGTCAGGTAAGGATACTGTATGGTCCCTTTATGTGGGCAAATTAGCTATTTGGATGGAAAGGTTCTGCAGAACAGATGCTGGCTAGTTTAGATTTTTTTCTGGACTAAAAACCTGTATGTTGATGCTGAATTTTGTCCACTGAACTCCCTGAGTGACTTTGTGCCACTCCCTCCCAGCCAAAGAAACTACCTCACACGTTTGTGAGGTTATAAGGCTAAACCATAACTTATATCCTTAAAAATGGGTTATGAACACATGAAATAAAAAATTGCCCCAGAGTTGCACAATCAAGAGACATTTGATAGGCTATGGATTGAGTGAGGATGAAAGATCATGTTGGTTGAAACAGGGATGAAAGTGAGGTCTACCTGATCAGGGCACAGCACATTTCTGACATTTCTTGGTGAGCAACTCCTGGATTCTGTTGGACCTTTCCATGATGAACTCATGTTGGTTAAGAGATGTCCTGGGTCCTTTTCACAGAGGGCATAGGTGCCCTTCATTTTTTTCCTCCCCTTCTCCAGGCATTCCTTCCCTTGCTGAGGAAAGCGTCTCAAGAAAGTTCTCAGAAAGGCATGGGCTGCAGCAAAGCTGCCATCATCAACATAACTAGCGAGTGTGGCTCCATCACAAACCTGTTTGCCTGGAATCTTAATGGGTTGATCTCTTATCGTTGCAGCAAGGTATGTACAAGCTGATGGAAAGGTGAAGGGGTTTTGTTATGGTTAATGTTGCAATAAGAATGTCAGTTTCACATTCAATTAATTTCCTTCTAAATGCCTATCAGATCCATGGGAAAAATCTATGAAAGCCAAGCCTCTGGATGCCTGCTCACCTAGGTTCATAATATACAGGTTATTGGTCAACGTGCCACTTTTCAGAGCAAGAGATGTTTCCAATTGTGTACAGATGGAGGGCCCACCTGAGAAATAATTTACCCATATGCTGGTCTATGACCATAATAAAGATCTGATTTGATTAAGTTACCCATGGAGAGCTCATTTCCTGATGCCGTTTCTTCTAAGCAATCAAGCAGTGACAGGCGCTTCCATGCCAACATCTTTTCCACTCCCCAATAGACCACACCAAATCAGCAGGAAACTGACTCAGTTCAACAGAATGTAGGCAAGTCCAGTGCTGATTCTCCTCTGATGCAAAGACTCCACATGGAAATGCCTAGGGGCTCCTCAACCAGTGCTCCACGCCTAAGTAGACTGGAAGAAATCTGATTACTGGTTTCCCACGATTAGGGGCAGCAGAAACTCAGTAATCTGCAAAGGGTCACTTGGAAGTAGAGAGATGAAAGATGAAGTGCATGTGAGAGGATGCATGCTGGCTGGGGAATTCTGGGAGTTGAAGTCCACACATCTTAAAGTTGCCAAGCTTCAGAAACACTGCTATACAGTACTTCATAATAATGCAGAGTGCTCTGGTCCTTTTAGGTTCAAGCTCCTTCTTCCTAGTCATCAAGTCTGTCTTTCATTTCATTCCTACTATTTTAGCCTGATACTGTACCACCCTATGTCTGACACCAAATGTGGCAGGGTTACACTGAAGGCATGGGTCAAACCACAGATCAAAAGACTGCTTTGCTTTTCCTTTCCTAGCTACAAACAGAGGAGGAACACAATTCTTTCTCCAGCCCTTTCCTTTATGGATTGAGAATCCCATTCTTTTGACCCAGGGCTTAATGTTCTTTCAGCTCACACTTGGCCCTACAGGTTTCTCTCCCCTCCACCCCAGTATTTCAGTAGGTCCTGTGGCAGGTTGGAGTTGCCTGATAATTTCTCCTTCTACTAGTTGCTTCTCAGCCTCTCAGTCCTCATCAGTGTGTAGAAGGGAGGGGGAAAACAATTGGTCACTGCTGGCTGGCTGTAGCTGCTCAGTGTTTTGGAAGACTTGTAAGCTTGTAAGACTCTGCTACTTCTCACTCCAGCCATGTCAGCTTCGGAGTCTCATTGCTCACTCCATCAACCTGTTTAGGTTCAGTTTCGCCTGCTCCACGCATGGGTGGCATCTCCCTCAGCTCTTCACTTCAGCTCCCTCTCTCTCTTCCATCAACACCCACACCCTTTGCCTTCAGTGTTTCTCTTTTGTCTCTCTGAAGTACATGTGTGATCTTCTGATCTCTTAAAATCCTACAGAATGCAAAACCCTAGGGAAGGAAAACTCACATTAGCAAATGTGAGTGTTTTTCTTCCACAGATTTGAGCGTGTGTGTGGAGGGTAAGACTGGAAGCAATTCATCTACACATGTTTCCAGCAAGAAACAAGCAATATTCAATCTGTTGTTTCTAAAGTGAAGTCACAGAAAGGGAATTCATCTCCCAGCCCACATGAACACCTCTCTAAAATCCCACAAAGTTACATTCCAAAGCAGGAAATAAAAAGACATAAATCATTATGATGTTTATATGGTTTGCCTTCTTAAAATTGATGAAAATAATGTAACAAATACAGCAATGAGTGCCTTAAACTTAGCAGAAACCTAAGACACATTGTTACCTGTAAAGCACTGTAACAAACTCATTAACAGTATTAGTAGACAGTGGGAATGTTTTCTTAAGCTGTCAAGATAAAAAAAAAAAAATTTGAAATTTGCTATAAATTGTCTCAGCTCACAACGAAAGGTACTAAAATGTAATTTCCTCCCTCCCTCCCTCCCTCCTCAACTGCCGAGGAGGAGATGGTCAACTGTGATGCCAACAGGCAGGCATTTGGGGGTGCTGAAGATATGTCTAGGTGTGCTATCAAATATGAGCTTGGGGGGGGAATCATGAGCTTTCCCTCCAGAACACCCTTCATCAAATAAGGGCAGAGAACATGCCCTGAGTAGGTTCAACTAAGGTTTTGAATAGATGTTTTTCTCCTTCTGTCAATCAACATTGAATCATAGCCAATAGGATTGGGGGAGGGGGGGAGAAGTGAGTCATATCTGGGAGAAGAGAGTAGGAGGAGATGATACCACATCTTTACCAATACAACACATGAATGTTCTGGTCTTCTGCAGGCCTCTGGGGTTCAACATATTGCCCAAGTCAGCCTTTCAACTGCAGAAGCCACCTTTGAAGGGAATGGCATCTTAGAGCACTCAGATTAGCCATTCATTTATCTTCTCTTTCTTTGTCTCCCTCACAGTCTGCTCTGAATATGCTCACTAAATGCCAGTCCCTGCATCTTGCCAAAGATGAGATCTTGTGCATTACATTGCATCCTGGGTGGGTGCAGACCGATATGGGAAATGAACTGGTAAGTGAATTGGAGGAAAAAACAAACCTCATACAGCAGCCAAAAAACAAGTTTGTGCAAGATTGGTAGGATTAAGAGTGGAACATTCTGAAGAACTCTGAACTATGCCAGACCTGCTGCTTCTCCTGGGGGCTGTTTGGTGCTTTCTGGAAATAAATTGTCTGAACTGGAAAGACAAGGGTACTCCAGACCCCAAAGAGGCCTGTTTCATTGGAACACTATGTGTGGAACACCTTAAACCATTTGAAGTTTGGAAAATCTATTTCCTGAAACAGCCAAACCACCCCTGTAATGTCATGGCCCCAAAGGAAACTGAATATTCCAGAGTTCTCCAGAATGTTCCATTCCCAGATCAACAAATTCTGCACATCCCTAAGGGTAACTACCTATATGTAATTATCTCAGGTAACATTGGAGTAAAGATGAGTATAATAAAAATAATAAAGAGGTTTGCTGCATCATAAAGACTAAATCTGCTTTTAGACAAAGATGTTATTATGCAGTTTGCATATTGAACCGATAGAAGATCCAGATTTCCATTTTCCGTTTGTCACTCTCCTTAGTTTTTTTTCTTCTGCTTCTTTAGCACTTTTAAGAATAAAATGATTTAATACCCACATTATTAACTCTGATCTGTAGTACTAGGAGCTGTCTGCACAGAACCTGAGCAACAGTAATTGCAATGTTTTGAATGGCCACCAAGCTTAAACTGCCACAAGAATTTTGTTTTTCCAGCATTATATTTTTATATCATTTTTATTTTATTTATTAAATTTCTCACCCACCCATCTCCCCCCAATTACATTTTCCCTCCCGAAGTGAGGCTCACCCCTTCCCTCTGTCATTTAGAAGTCCCTCAAGACCCGGTTGTGCCTGGAGGTCTTTGGGAACTGGAGACATTCTTAGATGGCGCCACTGTAATTGATATTCTGCTCTCTCCGTGGGGTTTATATATTTTAAAATTTTAAATTTTTAAGTTTTTCATAATATTTTTATTTTAATAATCATTTTTTAATCCTTTTGTGATGATTGTTTTCATTTATCTGCTATTTTATTTAATTGTTGTACACCGCCCAGAGTCGCTTTGTGTGAGATGGGTGGCTATATAAATGTGACATATGAATAAAATAAATAAAATATTACATTACACTACACATTACATTACATTACATTACATTATATTATTTGCCTTTCTGAAATGAAATAGGAATTAATTAAAGTTTTGGTATGTCAGAAATGCTCAGGGAGCATCTACCTATTTTTGGCTGATCTTAAAATGCATTAAACTAAGTTTGAATCAATTAGTACTTGGGTGGGAAATCACCACAACATTTCAGTAACTGTTGTTGGTACAACAGAATCAGGTGCAACTTAGCTTCTGGGTTGTGCAAACTCACTCACAGTGATTCTTTAATTTTTTAAAATAATTTTATTAGGATTTGAAACAAGAAAGATAAAAACTAAGAGAAACTAATATTTAGAATAAAGAAAACAGTAAAGAAAGGAAGAAAAGACAAAGCCAGAAAAAATGATAGAAAATATAAAGATATAACTTCCAATTTTCTTTTACAACAGTTATTAATGCAAATCAACCTCTTACTCTATGGTTACAGCATGACTTTCATTTTTCTATAATCTATTGTTTTTTCTAATTCTTAAAACCATATATCAAAAGTTCATTTTTTTCTGTTTCATGCAAAAAAGTCTGTAAGAGGTTTCCAGTCAGCATTAAACGTTAATGTCTTTAATCAAAGAAGTCAATCTGGCCATCTCAGCAAGTTCCATCATCTTCACCATCCATTCCTCCGTTGTGGGTAATGTCAAGTCTTTCCAGCATATAATAATCTTGCTGCAGTTATCATGTATAAAAACAAAGTTCCATGACTTTTCTCCAAGTGTTTATCCATCAGTCCCAAAAGAAACCTTTCTGGTTTCAACTGTATGTTAATCTTTAAGATCTTCTGAATTAGTGTATATAGTTGAGTCCAAATTTTTTTAGCTTTTTTACACATCCACCAAGCATGGTCAAATGTCCCCTCTTGTTCACATTTCCAACATAAATTTGAAGCACCTTTATACATTCTAGACAACTTTTCCGGTGACATATACCAATGGTACATTGTGTTAGAAAAGTTCTCTTTAAGATTATAATATTATGTAAATTTCAGTCCTTTTATCCTTATATCCTCCCACTATTCCATTTGCAAGTTATAACCAAAGTTTTTAGCCATTTTTATTTATTTATTTATTTATATTTCCAATTTAGACACCGCCCATCTCATGAGGAAGTGACTTACTTTCATACATTCTTTCACTTGTTCTCCTGTTTCAAATTTCAAATTTCAATAAAAGTTTATACATTATAGTACTCTTCTGCCTTCCAAACGTGCAGCCTTACGGAGCGTCATTGTGTTAAAGTCCAAAAGTGAATGTGTTAAACAAAGGAAAAGAGAACAAACTTCTCCCTTTTGTGTTTTGAATGCAGTAATTGCAGGTACATCTGCATCACTGTGGTTACAGTCAAGTATTTGGTCTACTCAAGTTACCTTTTTGTAAATTTACCTTTTGTAAATTCCACCGATTATCTACGGTCTTTGGAAAAAGCAAAAAACATTCCCACGGAAGGTCTGAGTTAATTGCCTAATTCAGTTACCGGTTTTTCCAATGCAGTTTTGTAGGAAAAAATTAATCTTTTAAAAATAACATCCCCCTTTATCTGTTTCTTATACCATCCCTTCTGAAGCTTTTTGCCAAATATTCTTTATACTTTTAAGTGTTTAAATCTTCTTTTAATTTTGTAATCCAGAAAAATATGAGGCTCACCAAGAGGAGAACTTAGCTGTTGTAAAAGAAAATCTCTCTCAGGCTGTAAACTAATTATTTCCAAATGTGATTAAGAAATTGGTCTTATTGTCCTTATAGGCTACACACACTTCCGTTTCTGCAGTTTACATATGGAGAGCAGTTGTCCGAAGAATGTGTGGGTTATTTCATGATCTCTCCTTTATCTGGAGAGATTTCAGCATCCAGTGTTGGCCCTCTGGGCGTTGATCTCTGCTGGGGCGACCAGACCGCCATTAATCTTCACCAGGCTCACTGTGATTCTTTAATCTGTACATGTCCCCAATTAAGTCAATAGAATCAAGTTTCATTAACTGAGGACATGACATGCAAGCCAGACTATTAATGTGCTGTTGGTCTCTCTCAAAAGTTAATGAAGCAGGACTTTCCTTTCCAAAAACCTAACCTGGTTCTTCTTCAGCAAGACTTGTCCTTTGATATAATTTCATTTTTTATGATGTTTTCTTGCAAAGGTAGGTTTGATATATGCTGTATTAAATTAACTGGCTTGAATTTTCCTGGAACCTTCCTGGATTCCCTTCTAAAAGTTGGTTTCCCATCACCTGCTGGAGAACGGAATCTGGGTAGAATCTCAGTCCAGAACGATTCTCTGGTTTTGATGCCCTTGGCTGTTATGGAATTCGCTGTCAGTTGATGTTACCTAGACTTTTAGACTTTTTTCCACTATAAACTTCTTTTATCACGCGCCTATTCTTTTTCCAGGGATTGCCCCCGCTGACAATCGAGCAGAGTTTGCAAGGTGTTCTGCACACACTTGCCGGTCTCTCCGAGAAAGATCACGGCACATTTGTTAACTGGGAAGGGAATCACCTTCCTTGGTGAGACAACCAAGAGTCTGCTTCTCTGCACTGCAGGACAACGTTCTCATCAAAGGCAATGCAGTTTTCTATCTCCAGTGCTAAATGTGTCCTGCTCTGGTGCACGTGCTCCAAATCTCACTTGTTTTAGCTGCTCTATCTGATGCCTATAAAATGTGGCTCAGCCAGGCTCTTTCAGCATCCATTTCTTCCTATGCTGTCTCGCAAGCGGAAGAGATCCCCCCCCCCGCCGCCAGATTTCTAGCACCTAAACTATAGTGATGGGAGACTCCTGTGACTCAATTTCCAAAGGGAGGGATGTTTTGGAAAGGGTACCCATGCCAGAATGAAGTCCTAGAGCAGAGAGACAGACCAGAAAAAAGGAAATGGTTGGAGTGAGCTAGCTGTCAACCCTGGGATGGGTTGAAATCTGGTCTGTGCAAATGCTATCTTTGCTGTTATGTTGGTCTGCTCTGTCGAATGAAAAAGCAAACGCTTTGTTCCAAAAGTCCTATAAAAACACAGCCTTTTTTGTATCAGTTTTGAATGCAATAGAATATACCTTTAACAATTAGTTCCTTAAAGGCTTTTTCTTTTGGTACAGAAATGCCATCTGATACTCTACTGACAAATGTATCTAATCGATTCTTTTTCTTTCTGCAAAAAACGCTTTATCTTAGAGCAGCTATGGCCGAACACAAATATTTTTGCATCTAACTTTCTTAAAATATACTATTTTTTCTTTTAAAAATTCAAAGTGCATTTTTATGTTATCCCATGAAAAAGGGGAAAAAAATCAAAACCCTTGTTTGGGTAATTTATTGAATAGATCCAAGCAAAATGACACCTGAACCTGAATGAGGTGTTGAGTTTTCCAGAACTCCTCACTTAACAATACACTAAGATACACAGCTTTGTGAGTGAAAAATAATGGGCAGCAACAAAATCTATTTACAGTTGTCATCTGGAATATTTTATACTTTCAGGATATTGTTCTATTTTGTTAAGATTATACTGCATGAATTAAAATAAAAAATGTTTAAAAATCTCTCTTTTATTAATGATAAATTGTCAACTCATTAAGAATCATTGGCCAAGGAAGGAAGCAACTAGTAGTGGCTTTAAAGGTTTTGAAATGCTGGGCAAGGGGGGCGGGCATGAAAGGAGATTTATATCGTATGAGCAATTTATGAGTTCTGATTAATCTGATTCTTTTCTAAATCCATCACATAAATGAAAGGAAACAATAAAATGTTCTCTTCTTGATCACGTGTCTTTACGATGAAGACTTCAACCTGTCTTCGTATATCTTTATCTGATGTCATTAGAGAACCCAAAACAGTAATTGAGATTACTGAAATGAAATGTTTTGATACTTTTTGGATAAAAAGTCCTCATTTTCATCAGTATAATCTAACTCTTTTCAACTATATTTTTATTTGAGATCAAAGCAAATCCAACTAAGATTCTTGTGATATGGGAGAGCATAGATGACTTTTTATAATTTTCAGTTTTGAAAATGACATCTGATCACCCACCAGGGTACAGTGAGAAGACTGTGAAGTATACAGTACATTTCTACCAGATTAGATATAAATATTGAATGTTACACTTCAACTGAATGTATGCCAAAAATCTGTGCATTTTTATGACATAATTGAAATAAATTCTTGTCTTCAGTCATTGCCCTGCCAAGATCAATGCCTCCCTCAAAGGGTTCATATACAATTTTACATCCCATTTCAATGCTTTCGTTACTCATTTTTGCTAATGAATTAAACCAATTCCACCATTGTTTAAATCATTCAATTAACAGAGCCGTTGTTTTAGCCATCAAATAAGTGTTCTTCTTTTGTATTTAAGGCCTTTGGAGTGATTGGGTTTATATTACTTATTATTACACATGTATATTCATGCATACCTACATTCAATGTGAAAATTGTCTTATGGGTCAAGTATGGGTTCTTCTACCCTTCATGGATGATTATATTCTGGTAAAAGCACTTACCTTTTTACATACTTTATACATGTCCACAATATTAATTACATATATCTATATCTATCTATATCTATATCTATATCTATATCTATATCTATATCTATATCTATATAT